CCGCAAGAGCGCGCGGGATGAGATTTTGACAATTTTTTGTTGAAAAACCATTGGTTTTTTGATGTTTTTATGTTAAAATCGCTGCGAACACTAAGCTTTTGGAAGGATTTCGTCTTGCGCGCGCGAATGTCCACTTTACCTTATTTTTTGCAAGGGATTCTTGAAATTTGATTATATTAGAACAAGAAATGTCATTTTCTATTGTTTTTTGCAAGGGAAAGCGGATTACAACAAAACAACCGGATCCTGTACACACCCTCTTTTCTGAGGCTTCCTCACGAAAATGATGAAAATGTAGCTGCGGCCTAGGCGGCGCAGGGGGGGCGCGCACCAGGGGGCCCAACAATAATTATTCTTTAGAATTAATAATGTTTCAACAACAACAACCATTTTAAGGCTGTACGCTCTTACTTGCCCGCGAGTCATTCAACACGTATACCCTACACCCTCGATACCCGCCCTCTTCGTCTTCGATCACACCCCTTTCGGGGGGATTATTTCTCTTTGCTGGGGCCGGCGGGCTTAGACGTACGGGCAAACCGGAACGGGCGGACAATCCTTCGGGGGCGTACATCTCTCTGCCCGCCATTGGAATTGGCGCGGGCCCTGCAAGAGGAGGAGGGGAAGAACGAGGGAGAGTGGGAGGAAGGGGAGGGGGAAGGACGAAGGAAGAGGGAAGATACCACGTTGTGAAGGCGTCCTTGGCGCGCGCGTGGTTCCTGAGCGCCGAAACGCAATTCCAGAATAATTTGTAAGGACGTCGCACGCGAGAGCGCAGTCCTGAGTACATTGTGAGGAAATCTCAGGCGGAAGTGGGGGCCCTGACTAAGTTGCGAGGAAGTCTCAAGCGGGAGCGCCGTTCCTGAGCAAATTGCACGGAAGTCTCAGGCGGGAGCGGGGGTCCTCATTAAATTGCGAGGAAGTCTCAGGCGGGAGCGCCGTTCCTGAGTCAATTGCGCGGAAATGTCAGGCAGGAGCGGGGGTCCTGAGTAAAATTCGAAGAAGTCTCAGGCGGAAGCGCCGTTCCCGCGTAAATTGCACGGAAGTCTCAGGCGGGAGCGGGGGTCTTGATTACATTGCAAGGAAGTCTCAGACGGGAGCGCCTTTCCTGAGTAAATTGCGCGGAAGTCTCAGGCGGGAGCGGGGGTCCTGAGTAAAAATCGAGGAAGTCTCCGGCGGGAGCCGTTGTTGTTGTAGCCCGGGGGGCAGGGGCACACTTTGAGCAGGAAGACTTTCCTTGAGAAAAAACAAGGTGCGAGCCCCGGGGGTGGCACTTCAATCGAAAAAAAAACAATGTGCACCGGTGGGGGGGGATCAACAACAGTTATTCTTCAAGAATGAGAGTTCAACAACAACAACAACAACAACAACAACAACAACAACAACAACAACAACAGCAGCAGCAGCAGCAGCAGCAGCAGCAGCAGCAGCAATAACAACAATACGGTCAACAACAACAGCAGCAGCATAACAACAACAATCATTATAAGAATGTTCGCTCTTACTTGCTCGCGTGTCATTCAAAACGAGTTCCCCACACCCTCGATACCCGCCCTTTTTGTCTTCGACCACACCCACTTTGGGGGGGGGTCTTTCTCTTTGCGGGGGGCGGCGGGCATAGACAGGCGGGCAAACCTGAACGGGCGGACAATCTTTCGTGGGCGTGCATGCGCCCGCCATTGGAATTGATGTGTACCCTGCAAAAAGAGGAGGGGGAACACGAGGGAAAGTGGGAGGAAAGGAGGGGGAGGGACGCAGGAAGAGGGAAAACGCCAGGAGAGTATGAGCGAAGAGGGGGGCGGTTGATTTGAGGCAGAGAGAGAGAGAAAGACAGATAAGAGAGGTAGAGAAAGAGAGAGAGAGAGAGGGGAGAGAGAGAGAGAGAGAGCGAGAGAGAAAGAAAGAAAGAAAGAAAGAGGGAGGAGGCAAGAGAGGGGAGGGAGAAGGGAGGAGGGAGAGGAGGGAGAGGGGATAGGGCACAGAGGCATAAGGATGAGGGAAGAGAGGAGGGAGAGAGAAGAGAGGAGAAGAGGGAGGAGGGAGAGGGAGAAGGAGGAGGAGCAGGAAGGTAAGAGCGTGAACGTCCGAGGAAGTCCTATGGGAAAGCGCCGTTCCTGAAGGAAGTCTCGGGCGGGAGCCCACGACGGGCGGGCGATCCCCTGACGGGCGGGTCGGGCGGGTAGGACATTCAGAGCGCGAGTACTAAGAAATGTGTAACGGCGTCCTTGGCGCAGCGTGTTTCCTGAGCGTCGAAAGCGCGAGTTCTGAATAAATTGCATGGAAGTCACAGGCGAGAGCGCAACTCCTGAATAAAATGTGAAGGGCTCTCTGGCGGGAGCGGGGGTCTTGATTAAATCGCGAGGAAATCTTAATTCAATCGCGAGGAAGCCTCAATCGGGAGCGCCGTTCCTGAGTAAATTGTGAGGAAGTCTCAAATGGGAGCGGGGGTCCTGAGTAAAATGCGAGAAAGTCACAGGCGGGAGCACCGATCCTGAGGAAATTGTGGGGTCCTGAGTAAATTTGGAGGAAGTCTCAGGCAGGAGCCGTTGTTGTTGTAATCCTGCTGGCCAGGGGCACAGTTTGAGTACCAAGACTTTCCCTGTCAAAAAAAATTTGGTGCGAACGTCGAGGGGCACACTTTGACTGAGAAAAAGCAGCAAGCACCGGTGAGGGGGATCAACAATAATGATTCTTAAAAAATGAGAACTCAACAACAACAACAACAACAACAACAACAACAACAACAACAACAACAACAACAATCAGTTTAAGACTGTTCGCCCTTACCTGCTCGAGTGTCCAGTGACGCGTATTCCCCAAACCCTCGATACCCGCCCTCTTCGTCTTCGATCGAACCCCTTTGGGGGGTACTTTTCTTCCCTGCAGGCCAAGCCCCGGCAAGCGGCGGGGCGGCCGCGGACCGTCGGCCTGGCCAGCGGCAGCGCTGATCGGCGGGGCGGCCGCGGACCGTCGACCCGACCCCAAGAGGGACGGACAGGGGACCGACCACGACGACGACGACGACGACGACGACGACGACGACGACGACGACGACGACGACGACGACGACGACGACGACGAGCGAAAGCGAGAGCGAGAGAGAACGACAGCAGGGCCACAAGGACACGAAGTAGGCCACGAAGGGCGACAGCGGGGACACGAAGGGAATGCGTATGGGGCCACGAAGAGCGCGAACGGCGAACGAGCGGGGGCCACGAAGGGCAGATATGCGGGGCCACAGAAGGCAACAACGGGGCTACTGAGGGCAGCAACGGGGCCACGTAGGACAGCGAGGGGGGCCACAAAGGGCGACAGCGGGGCAACGAAGAACATGTATATGGGGCCACGGCGGGCGCAAACGAGCGGGGGCCACGAAGGGCATGCAAATATTGGGCGGCAGAGGGCAAGGACGGGGCCACTGAGGGCAGCAACGGGGCCACGAAGGGCAGCGAGGGGGCCACGAAGGGCGACAACGGGGCAACGAAGGGCATGCATATGGGGCCACTACGGGCGCGAACGAGCGGGGGCCACAGAGGACACACGTAGGTACGGGGCCACGAAAGGCAGCGAGGGGGCCACGAAGGGCTGCAACGGGTCCGCGAAGGGCAGCGAGGAGGCCACGAAGGGTTGCAACGGGGCCACGAAGGGCAGCAAGGGGGCCACGAAGGGTTGCAACGGGGCCACGAAACCAGCGAGGGGGCCACAAATGGTTGCAACGGAGCCACAAAGCGCAGCAAGGGGGCCACGAAGGGCTGCAACGGGGGCCACAAAGCGCAGCGAGGGGGCCACGAAGGGCTGCAACGGGGCCACCAAAGGCAGCGAGGGGACCACAAAGGGCTACAACGGGTCCACGAAGGGAGCGAGGGGGCCCCGAAGGGCTGCAACGGGGGCCACGAAGGGCAGCGAGGCGGCCCACGAAGGGCTGCAGCGGGCCCCCGAAGGGCAGCGAGGGGGCCACGAAGGGCTGCAACGGGGTCACGAAGGGCAGTGAGATCCCGATCCCCAAGTAAGTTGTGAGGGAGTCCTAAACGTGAGCGCGACTCCCGGGTGCCTGAGTGTCGGGAGCGCGATTATTGAGCAAATTGTTCGGAATTCCAACGCAAGAGCGCGATTCTTGAGTAAATTACAAGCAAGTCTCCAGCGAGAACACAACTCCAGACTGCCGAAAGACCGTTTCTTGAATAAATTGCAAGGAAGTCCCAAGCGAGAGCGCGATTCCTGAATAAAATGCGAGGAAGTCTCAGGCGGCAGCGGGGGCCCTGGCTAAATTGTGAGGAAGTCTGAGGCGGGAACTGTTGTTGTTGTTGTTGTTGTTGTAATCCGGGGGCCAAGAACGCAGTTCGAGCTTAGTGACTTTCCGTCAAAAAAAGTTAGTACGAGCCCCGGGGGGGAACTTCAATTGAAAAACAAAATGGTTACCGAAGGGGGATCAACAATAATGATTTTTCAGTAGTGGCAGCTCAACGCATTGTGAAGGGCGGGGGCGGCAGAGAGTTTCAAAAACATTGCTTCTGGCCAGGTAAGAACCCCTATGCTAAAGCATACTTGGGGAAAACAAGCGGCACCACCCCACCTACGGCCCTCCAGGTTGCGTTACGGCCCATCGGGGACCGAAGCGCATACCACGCAAAAACCCACGCCAGATCTTTTGGTATATAGGTGGGGTGGTGTCGTTTGTTTTCTGATCCAGCCTCGGTGCCCCAGACATGCCCCGGATCGCGCGGCTTCGCTAGCGATGGCCCCATGGCGGATCCACCCGCGACGCGCCGCCGATTCCAGGCTAAGTCGGGCCTGACCCCCTACAGGGGGATGTTCGACGAAAAATAAGAAATACCCCAAAAATAATCAAAAAATAGTCTGGAGACTATTTGGGGGGTACTTTTTTACCCTTTTGGGGCATGTTTGGGGTATTTTCTGTTTTTCGTCAAAAATTCCCCTGTAGGGGGACACGCCCGACTTAATTCCAGGCCATCCCCACTCTCTGTCTGCTTCCTTCAGAGGAGCTGGAGGACATGCTCGATGGCATCTGCTGCTTCGTGGCGGAGACCCTGGCGGAGCTCACCCGCCTCGCGAAGCCCTGCGTTCGCCAGACCAGCCGGGCCCTGGGCAGCGCCGTCGACGCTTGCGACGCCGCCCTGGATCCCTTCTACTCGCTCGTCGACACCGTGCAGGGGGCGGTGTGGGACTTCAGAAGAAGAAAAGGTACCCACACCCCCACCCTTCCCTCGTTGTCCGCATGTTTGGGCCTCCTGGGAGGCCCTCGTCGCCACGGCTGGATTCGCCCCGAAATTCTTGTCAGAACGCAGCCTGGGGGAGGTCCGGGGAGTAGCGGTGTCGGTACTTTTTTGTTGTTTTCCTAGGACTGGGTGGAGGTGCAGCACGAGCGACTGGTGCTCGGAAGGGGAAAATCAGCCTTGGCGTTGTCGGCTGCACGCAAGGAGGGGAAGGGGGAGGAGGAGGAGGAGGAGGAGGAGGAGGAGGAGGAGGAGCCCATCGCCGGAGCAACCTCTTGGTGCGGCCCCCGCAGGGATCCCCCCAGCACCGGGCTGGCGCGCTTGGGCTTGGCCCCCCCGCAGCCCCCTAGAGCCGCGCAACAGTGTCCAGAGTGTCACTCCTGCGTGTGGCCTGGCCGACGTTGGGGACCCTCACTGCCAACCCACGCCAAGAGCAGCCGCCCGGCGGAGGAGACGCAGAAGCGTCGGTGTCTGGTTTGAGGCAGTTTGGAGGCCTCTTGGGGGCCGTTCGGGGGCCTCTTTTGGGCCTCTTGGGGACCTCTTGGGGCCTCTTGGGGGCCTATTGGGGCGGAAGGCTCAGACTGTCGGTACGTATTTCTTCTCTTGGGTCCCTTTTGGGGCCGTCTTGAGGCCCTCTTGGCGCGGCTCTGCGCCTCTTGGGCCGTCGTGGGACACTCTGAGGCCGTCTTGGAGCCCTTCAAAAACTTCCGGGAACTCAATGATTCTTGCCTCTTGGGAGGCCTCTTGGAGGTCTCTTGGGGCGTCTTGGGGGCCTTCAGGCCTCTCTGGAGACCATCTTGGGCGTCTTGGGACGATCTCCCCGCGACTCGTGTCCGTCTTGGGCAGTCTTGGAGGCTGCTTGGGACCCTCTGGGCCCGTATGGGGGCCCTTTTGGGCCCGAAAAAGTTACGCGACAAGATGCGCCAAGGCCCGAGGGAACTGCAAGATTTATGAATTTGAGATCGGGGCCCTTTAAATACTCTTCAGGACTGAGGACTGAGGCTCCAGGGATTAGGCAAAGGACCCGAGGACGTGCCCAGAGGCACGGTGGCGGATTTGTCAGGACTTGGCAGCGGGGTCGAGACCCGAGATAGAACAGAAAGCTAGAAGGGAAGTGCACAGATCTTGTATCTAGAAATAATCATATGTGTATGTATGCTCATATATGCGTATGTATGCAGGTGTGTGTGTATATATATATATATATATATATATATCGGGAGAGAGAGAGAGAGAGATGCACGTAACTAGGCCTGCATACATGTATGCATGGTACAAATACTGATACATATACACACTCGTGACCAGGACCGCGTGGGAGAAAGCTGGATGCACATGGGCCGACTGTCTTTCTGGCGCCTGGCCCTCGTGCGGCCAGGCATGGCAGCCGATGGCCCTCGGCCGTGGCGTATCCAGCGCGCGGCTTCCCTTGCGTGTGAGTCCAGCCGTTTGGATATCCAGCCTCAAAATCGGCCCCATGGACCTAGTTCTGTGGAGCGAGCTCCGACCAGGATTCTCGAGACGAACCCAGCCGTGGCGACAAGGGCCCCCAGGAGGCCGGAGGCACAATGGAGCATTAATAGACATCCAGATGCCCTTCGCGGCGGCGGCGGCAACGGGGCAGGAAGCTTCTGAAGGCGCAAGAAGGCACAAAAAGTTCAAAAGAGTTCGATTATTCTCCCCCTCCCTCGTGGTACACACGTGCCCGCCTCGTGGTGCGCGCCTGCTTCCAGTGCCCTCTCCAGACATCCGACGTCGCGGTCTGTCCAGCACGTGACCCCCAGGCCGTCCGACCTCGCCAGTGGATAGATGTTTTTGTTCGTCCAGGTCCGCCGTGTGACCAGAAGCGGCCTCCCGAAGGTTTACAACTATGCATAACCAGCAGTGACGACGGAGGCCTGCAGGCGATCGACATGTTATCCATGCCCCTTCTGGCGACCCCCACCCCACGAGGGCCCAGAGCGAGGATGTTGAGAAACTCCTAGCCTCCGAAGCCATAGTTTCTATCCATGCCATGCTTCCCCTGGCGCGCGCAGAGTGGGAGGCAGCAGCATGGGTATGGACCGAGCGTCGACCATTGAGCTCGGGCCCTCGAAGAAGACAAAGCTCATGAACATGAACTGTCGGAGGTCCCCGCGGTTTTCTCGAATCCATCCTCCAAAAGAGACCCCCCAGGCCGCTCCCAGGCTGCGTTCCGACCAGGCGTTGGAGAGGGGTGGGGATCTGGCCGTGGCCGCGTGGACGCCCAGAGAAACCCAGAGAGGCTGGCAGGATGCCCGAAAACTCGGACGGCCAAAACCCAAGGCGATCGATGCCATGCGCCATCATGTCGATTTCGATGTTTGATCTGATCAGAGCTGTCCTGAACATTGCACCAGCACGGTATCGAAATAATGTCGGCTCCGAGCTTGCGCCGCAGCGCGCATGGGCTCGGAACTCTGGCGCCCCATCGCCGCACTCGCAGCACCCCAGACGGTCACAATCGCAAAGTGTCTTGTCGCGAAGCTTCCGTGGCGGAGGAGGCCACTGCCCATTATTTGGTGCCACATCGATACCCCGAAGATTGCATCGCACAGTCCGTCGCAGGATGGGTTGGGGGATTCGGGAGGCCCCCAGGCGCTCAAGTCACCCTCGGGAAACGGCCCGAGTCCCGAAGCGGTCAGCTCACCCCGGGTCACACCTCACCGTCCAAGACCTTCGACGCCGTGATTCTGTCGCAGCGCAGATCCCCAGAGGTCCAGACCTTGTTGCCAGGACCATCGGGCAGTGCCGAGGGGGGGGTCACCACTGAGGGGGCCGCCAGCCACTCCTGGAAATCGAGATTCCAGGATCGAAGCTCAGGGAGATTTTTGGATGTTTGGGGTCGTTTTGGAGGGCTCTGCGGGTGGGGGCCCATTTCTGCGAGGAAATTGCGCTCCCTCGAGGGGGGGTGCTCCCTCTCCCCCTCAATGGCGACCCTATGCTGGCATTGCCTCGCAGTGGTTGTTTTCCTCCGCGAGCTGATTCTGTTACGGCCCCGGGGCCCGGCAAGGGCCCCAGACGCCGAAGCTCGGAGGACGCGTCATGGGGGGGGGGGCGGCGATAGATGTGGGAGCAGCGAGGGCTGCTGAACAGGGGTCCTCCAGGACCCCAAAGAGGCCCTTTCGGACCCAGAAGGGGGCCTTTGGGGCCCGAAAAGGGCACCTATCTCCCCCTCCCCCCATGTTTATCCCCCCCATAGACTCGCGACCAAGAAGCGTATCAACAAAAGTCTTCTGTCGTGACTTCCCATCCACAGCAAGAGGAGGTCTGAGTTTCGGGCCATAACTCGGGCCTCCAGTGCGCCCCCCAGAGCGTACTCTCGGCGAGGCGCAGCCGCTGGAAAGCACCCCCAGCCCCGAAAACCTTTCAAGAACCAGCAAAAAATCCAAGAACCTCACCACAAGCGCAGGAAAACTTACAGTAGGCACGTCAAATAAGAAATCGGCCTGCCAGCGAGTGCCACACCGAAGTTCCTTACCCCCCAAATGGCCGAGGGGGCTCACATAAGCTCTTGGGCACCTCAGGAAGATCAAATCTCTTCGAAGAATGCGCCCCCAAATATTCCTTATCGCAAGAGTTCTTGTCGTCTGCGGTTGTGAGAACATCTGAACGACAACGACGGCGCGCCGCGACCCCGCTAAATACGCTCAAACCAGTCCCCGGAGCCCTCCTGGGGTCCATCTTGACTTGATTCTCGAGGCGGAACCAACCAGCCGTGGTGACGAGAGGCGTCCAGGAGGCCCAACAAGGCCGAAACACACCAGGGAAAGCCGCCATTGTCTCAGCCGGCCTTCCACCGATCCGAACGACCCTGAGATCTTGGCGTCTCAATTTTTGGGGAGCCGGGCGTTTTCGCTTTTTTTCGAGCCCCAGGACCCTCACGGATCGATCTGGCTCGGAAAAATGATGCAGAAAGACAGAGTCTAGGGTCTAGGGCTCCAGGCGTGATTTTTTACGATGTTGCAGTTTTTCGCTACGTCGGATCTCAGGGGACCACCACGGCGCGCCGCGACGGCCCTGCGACTCCGAGGTGCACGCGTCCGCGCGGCTCTGCGAGCTGCCGGCCCGGCTGCCGCAGCTCTTCGCCGCCCGCGACGGCGGGGAGCCCCGGCCCCAGGCGGCCACCAAGAGCGCCCGCCAGAGGCGCGCGCGCGCGCTGCCGCCGCGGCGGCGGCGCCGACGTCCACGGCGACGGCGGCGGCAACACCATCGGCGTCGATGACAATGGCGACGGCGGCGGCGGCGGCCAGAGGCGCGCGCGCGCGCTGCCGCCGCGACGGCAGCGGCGTCGGCGGCGACGGCGGCGGCGACACTCAGAGGAGCAGGAAGCCATGAGGCTGCCCACCCGCCTCCGCAGGCCTCGGGCAAGTTGGTTTGTGCCACTGCCTCGGCTCCTCCAGGGCCCGGCTTCCTCGGGCCAGCTCCTGGGTCCTTGGTCCTCCCTCGAGCCTCGACAGGGCCTTGCCCAGGGCGGAGGGACGGGCCAGGGCGGGGGGGGCGGGCGGCCGCGGTGCCCGCGCCAGGCTTACCAAGCGCGCCCGTCGTGCGCAGACCAGACAGGCCAGCCACAACTGGAGGAGCTCGAGAGGGGTGTCGAAATCGATGGGTCCCCCCTAGGGGGGTAAGGACCGCAGCTCCCCCAGTTATGGCTGGTCGGCCAGACAGCACAGCCACAGGGGTGCCTAACGGTCGCATGACGGATCGTAAGACTTTGCTATCTCGCTTCATCGACACAGCCACCGTCGTGGTGCAAGACACGTTCCAAGCGCTCCTAGTTGTCCTAGTGTTCCACAAGGGCAGCAGAAACGAGGGCCGCTTGATATTCCGGAAGTCCTGGCAAGTATCCCGAACCAGCCGCATCATGACATCATTCTCGTCCTAGACACGCTGGCATCCACGACGTCGGCGACGGCAGCGGCAGAGGCATCGGCGGCGGAGGCGGCGGCGGCGACGGCGGCAGCAACAGCGGCGGCGGCGGCGGCGGGGGCGTGCGCCTGGAGGCGCGCGCGTGGCCGCGGCGCGGAGGGGCAGCTGGGCGAGGCCGCCGGGGGTTGCCGAAGCCTCCTGGGGGTCTCTTCGCAGCCATCGTTTTCGATGCTCCAGGCGTCGGGCACTGAAAAAAAGCACCGTTGGATGTCTGGGTGCTTGGGCACTGCGCATGCCCTGCACTTCGTCGTGCGTCCCTGCACCCGCACAAGGACCACATGTTCTGAATGTGGCCTCCGCTCCCCGCGCGCCTCCCTCCCTTCTGTCCTCTTCACCCGTGCCGCATTCGCGCGCCGCGTGTCCCAAGCCATGCCTTGACCGCGTCTTGGTCCCAAGTCGCCGCCAACCGAAGAGTTGGGTTTGGGGGGCTTCCAGGACGGGTCCTCGTGGCCACGGCTGGCTCCGCTTCGAAATGCTCGCCAGAGCGCACCCAGGGACAGGTCCACGGGGGCACCGTTCCCTCGCTTCGCGCAAAAATCACGACGGAAGGTTCGTTTGACAAGTTTCGGCGTCTTGAGGGCCCTCACCAGGCCCAAGGGGCCGTCACTTATTCCGACGGTAGGACCCCACACAAGAACCTATTTGGCTTGGCCTTGGCTATTTCCTTGTCGCCTGGCGGACGCCCTCCCCCCGCTCTCAGCATCCTGCTCCTGCTCCTCTTCCTTCTCGTCCTCCTCGTTACATGGATGATCCTCCTCCTCATCCTCCTCCTCCTCATCCTCCTCTTATTCCTCCTCCTCCTCCTGTGACTCCTCCTCCTCCTCCTCCTCCTCCTCCTCCTCCTCCTCCTTTTCCTCCTCCTCCTCCTCCTCCTCCTTTCCCTCCTCCTCCTCCTCCTCCTCTTCCTGCCCTCTCCTCGTCACCATCCCGCCTCTTCTCCTCGGGAACCTTCTCTTCTTGCTGGCCGGGGCACGAAGGTCGATTTGTTTTAGCGTTGTGGCTGACATGGCCAGAGAGGCGCGTTCTCCGATGGCCTGATTGCGAAGCCGTTGGGGCAACCCCGCGGGCCAGGCCGTTGGGACAACCTCGCGAGCCGCTGGGGCGCGGGAGCAAGCCGCTGGGACAACCCCGCAGGCACCGACCCAGTCGCGGCCGCCTCTTGGCCTGGACCTTCTGGGAAAGCTGGGACGAAGAAGCCGGCCTCGGGAAGGGGGTCGAGGGCTGTGGCCCCACAGGCTGACCAAACCGTGGCATCGGATGTCCAGGGACGAGGGCCAGCACGGAGGCCGCAGCGGCTCATCCTGGGCCATCTCGGGCGAGTTGGGGAGACTACCCCGAGGACGCCATCGACACCCTGCGGCGCTGGATATCATGGCACGTTTCCCGGTCTGCGCTACGCTCTGCCACCCAAGCGAGTCAGGCTTTCAGACTCGCGCGATGGTTCCAGCGCGAGGAGGGCGGCCTTCTACGAAGGCACGGGGGCTCCTCAGAAGACAAGCGTTCCCTTAGAAGGACCTGAAGACTTCAAAGGAGGCGTGATAGTGGCTGTCTTCCAAGAAGTGCCCCACCTTCTAAGAAGATTGCCCCCTCGCGCCACCCCCGTGTGCGCGCCGCCAGCCCAGGCATCCGATGATGAGATTTGTTCACTCCACGCCCCAGGGGCATCGACCCCTTCCCCAGGCGCAGTTGTTCGCCCTGGGTACGTGTTTGATGGCCGTGGCCACGATTGAATAAGTCGCATCGTCACACATATGGGAGTCTATCCTGGGCCATCTTGGGCGGCCTGAGGATCACTTGGAGCCACTTTGATGACCTCTGCCCTGGGGCTCTGAGCGCGTTCCTACTCCCCTTTCCCCCGCGGCGGCGCTGCCCAGCGTGAATTGCCTCCCCCACCCCTCGCTGCTTCCACGGGACGGTCCGACCCATCCCTCGTCCAACGCGGCACTCTCCGACGTGAACTTCCGCATCCCCCTCCTCCTCCTCGTCAAGCGCCCTCTCCTTAGAGCAGTCGCATGGCACGAAGCTGCTGTCAACGACAAATGTGTTTGCTCTTGGCTCCATCGAGCAACCGGCTTGTCCATGCAAGCGGTAGACAGGTGGGTCGAAGCAGCCACGACGGAGGGCACACACATGGGTTTCACCATGGCACAAAGACGATTCAATGATTCGGGCAACCCCAACGCTGCTAAATGGGACGAAGGGGAGAGGGAGGATGTGCTTCAATGACTGCATGGCACCACCAACGCGACCACAGGCGCAGTGCACGACCTAGGGGGCACGTTCATGCATAACGGGCTCAGTCTGGGTTTGTATGTGCGGCCGCGTGTCGTTTGCTAGATCGTCGTCAGCATGTGCCTATTTATGTACGTCCAGAGCCCACTTGAGGGGATCCAAAAGCTTGTAGACAAATCTCTCGCGGTTGAGTGCGCGTCCAGCTGACAGCGGAGATCTCCTCGTTGCGGGGGCAGTCGAGGCGGCAGCTTACCTTCTCTTGTCGCGTTCCTTACCTTCCCTTTTGGTCATTGCCACTTCCTCCTCCACCTCCCCCCCTTTCTTTCTCTCTCTCTCTCTCTCTCTCTCTCTCTCGTCCACATCAGGTAGGCTCCAGAGGCCCTTCTGGAGGTCCCCGAATTCCCTCGGAGGTTCAAATGTACCCAGACCCCAGACCCACAAGAGCGACATGAGCGCGTCAGCGCCCTCCTCTCCATGTGGTGTGCCACGCTGGCGGCCCGCGTAAGCCTCGGCCTAAGGTCGCTATGGCCTCTCGCGGAAGACCCATTTATTTTCCTCGCGCACAGGGGGCCAAAAACGTCGACATCCTAAGACATCGACCTTCCTCCTCCCTTCTCCAGCCCCCGCCCCTGAGAGGCCGAGCTCCACGAGCGCGCGCGCGATCTCTGGCTGCCGCCCGAGGTGCCCGGCGCGCACCAAGGGAAGTGTTGCGCGACAAGGGGGCGACCTTCTGGGGCAGTCCGCCGTTCAGCACGGTGGGGGCGTTCGTGAAGGAATGTGCCCAGGAGGCTTCGGACCCTGGACGCCAATCCACGATTGGAGTCCCAGTGGCTTCCAGACCCTGGATTCCTCGTCCACTGGTTCCCTAGCTCTATGCCCTCACCGTATGTTTCGCGGCGTGGGCCCCCCGATCTCTCGACCCGCTCTTGGAGACTGGCGTTCTATCCCAGGCGCGGTTCAGTTTGCTGGGCGGCGGCCAGGGGTCCCCAAAAAGGCCCAAGCGGAGGAAAAATGGTGCCGTCGCGAGTGATTTCCCGACGCAGGGCTGGAGGGCACGAACCAGATCCGCCAGAACCGGCCCCCAGCTCCGTCCCGCGGCCCGTCCTGGCCAGTTCTCCGAGCCGCGTCCAGCCGTGCGACCGTCACGAGGGCACCTTGGGAGGTCCAAAAAGAAGCCGAAAGCCTCGACATCTGATTTTCCCGTGGCCGAGGGAGTCGGTATCGTTAATCCGATCCCCATCCCCAGCCCCAGCCCCATCCCCATCCCCCTCGAGACCCCCACCAAATTACGACCCCAGTTGGGGATACACCCCTCAAAAAGCCGAAAGAAACGACCTATATCCCCATCTAGGGGGGTAAATCGGCCAGTGGGGCCCAGGCCACGCTGCTCGGGATGGGGATCGGTGAAACGATACTCGGGGAGACCTGGGACCCTGACCCCGTCCCTGGGGCCAGTTCTTCGTCCCCCGTCGTTTCCTCACGGCCCCGAGCCCCGAAGCTGGCCTCCGAGACCCCCTCCCTCAAAGTCTGTCCTCCTCCTCCTCCTCCTCCTCCTCCTCCTCCTCCTCCTCCTCTCTCCTCCTCCCTCCTCCTCCTCCTCCTCCTCCTCCTCCTCCCTCCTCCTCCTCCTCCTCTCCTCCTCCTCCTCCCTCCTCCTCCTCCTCCTCTCTCCTCCTCCTCCTCCTCCTCCTCCTCCTCCTCCTCCTCCTCCTCCTCCCTGCGCCCTCTCGCCTCGCCCGGCCTCGCACCCCCTCGGGGCGCACTCCGACGAGAAGCTCCCTGGATTCCAGCCACGGCCACGACGGCGCCCCAGGAGCCCAAAACGCTCGGTCCTCGGCGCCCCTGCTTTTTCAGAACGTGGGCCCCCCGCGCATCTTCCCTGGAACCAGCGTTTCATCCCAAATCCACTAGGCGCCCCCAGGGCCCCAGAAAGGCCCCCGGAGGCCGAAAATGGGCACCGAGTTTAATATACATCTATCGAAGGCGCCTACGGCGAATCACCGCCGCCCCCTGCCTTTTTGGAAGCGCCTATGTGGCCGAACGTTGTGGCCATGGCTCGGCCAAGCTATCGGACTATCTCTTCCACTGGCCGTTGTGGAAACCCTTCGGGGAACACGTGGGTTCCAAAGAAGAACGTGAAGAAGAAGGAGAAGAAGAAGAGGAAGAAGAAGAGGAGAGTGAGGAAAAAGGAGGAGCAGGCTTGTTGGGAGCCTGCAGGGGGCACTCGTGGGGTCTCCAGGGAGCGTCCTGGGGACCTCTTGGAGGCCTCTTGGGGGCCTACTTTGGCCTATTGGGGACATTCGGGGCCCTCTTGGAGGCCTCCTTGGCCGTGGTGGGGCGTTCCTGGCGCGTCTGACGCAGTCGGAAGCCATCTTTAGGGCCTCTCTGGGCCGTCTTTGGGCCTTCTCAGGGCGCTTCAGGGCCGTCTTGGAGGCCATCTTAGGCATTTTGGAGGCCTCTTGGGCAGTCGTGGGGCCCTCTTGAGGGCGTCTTAGAGGCCTCTTGGGTTGTAATGGGGCCAACTTGGAGGCCTCTTGAGCGCTCTAGGGGCGATCTTGGGGGGCTCAGGGGCTGTCTTGGACCGTCGGAAAACCAAAAAGAAGTAGATGGCCAAATTCTTCAAAAACCTTTGGAAAAACAATGATTTGGGCCTCTTCGAGCGTTCCTGGGGGACCTCGTGGAGGCCTCTTGGGCCGTCTGGGAGGCTTCTTGGGTGCCTCTTGGGCCGTTGTTGGCCATCTTGAAGGCATCTTGGGTGCAGATTGGGCCGTCTCAGATGTGTATTGGGGCCAGCTTGGCCGTCGTGGATGCCATCTTGGGCGAGAAAGGCATTGACATGTACATTTTCCGCGTGGCCGGCGCGCTATGCCGAAGCCTCAGGCGGAGGTCTTAAAGAATCCAAAACCTCCCAGACGTTTTGGCACGCCGTGCACCCCTGTGGTAAGCCAACAGGTGGCGGCGGATAACGGAAAGCGCGCGTAGCGTCGCGATCCGTTAGTTGGGAGACATAACAAGGGGGAGTGTGAGGGGGTTGGCAGGACCCGCCCTAGGTCTGATGGCCCCAATGTTCGGCCATGTTGGGCCCCAGGCGGCCCGAGTCAGCCCCAAGGGCGCCCAAGACGGTCAGCCCCAAGAGCGCACAAGACGGCCCAAGAGGCTCCCAAGACGGCTGAACACACTTCCAACACGGCCTAAGATAGGCCTAGGAGGACCCCAAGACGGCCCAAGAGCGCTCAAAGACGGCCCAAGATGGTCTCAAGACGGCCAATGCGACCCTTTAGATTTTCCTGGGGGCCCCCAAGAGGACCCCTAACAGGCAAAAATCGTCCCATTCCTGCTGGGGAAAACGTACATATTTGGCACATTCGTTTTTTTCTGTTTGATAGAGGCCCCCAAGATCGCCCTGAGACGGCCCAAGAGGCCCCCAAGAGGGCCCCAAGACGGCCGAAGTGGGGCCTCTGAGGGTCCGAAAAGGTTTCCCAAAAGGGCCACTGGAGGCCCCCAAGAGCGCCCCAAGAGGGCCCTAAGACGGCCCACCCCCAAGACGGCCCATGAGTGTCCCGGGACAGCCCAAGAGGGTCGCAAGAAAGCCCAAAAGAGCCCCAAAAGGAGCCCTACGAAAGCCTGAAGAGGCCATATTCATTGATTCTCGCAAGGTTGTGTGTCAGGTTCTTGTATGGCACACCAAAGTCTTAATACCAAGAGGTCTCCAAGACCTTAAGTAAGCGATCGCGCGCCCTCACGAGGTACTCGCGCGTTCTATCCACGTGCCGAGTAGGTCGAATGGCCTTCGGCCCATGCCGCCACCGTGCTTGGATTGTGGACCACAGGCCTCGAGGATGTTCGTTGAGATGCCGCGGAAGACCTCTCGGAGGCCTCCTGGGGGCCGTGCGGAGGCCTCTTGGGAGCCGTTTGGGGGCCTCTCTCATGGAGCTTCTTGGGGGCCTCCTGGGGGCTTCTTGGGGCAGAAGACTCGAATCTTCCGTTCGTGTTCCCCTCTTGGGCCCTTCTTGGAGCTGCCTTGGGCTCTCTTGGGCCGTCTTGGGCGCCTCTGGGGCCGCCTTGGGGCGGTCTTGGGGGCCTCTTGGGCCCTCTTGGAGCGTCGGAAGCTGGAAAACCCCGAACCTATTGAAAATATCGAAAATTAGTGATTTGGGCCTGTCGGGGCCCACGTGGGAAGGCTCTTGGGCTCGCTCGAGGCGCCTCGAAGGCTTCTTGGGCCGTCTTTGGGCCATCTTGGGCGTTGTGGGCGGAGAGTGCAGCGATTCGGGGCCCTCTTGGACCGTCTTTGGGGGCCTCTAGGGGCCCTCCAGGCCCGTCTTGGGGTCCTATTGGGTCAGAAAAAGTCATGCGACAAGACGCCCCAGGCCCCAGGAGCCACGCCGTGTGTGCAATGTGTGGTGTGTAATGTGTATAATGTGCGTAATGTGTGTAATGTGTGTCATGTGTGGCGTGTGACGTGGAACGTGCGGCGTGTGGTGCGTAGTGTGTGTTGTGTCTTGTGTGTTGTATGTTGTGTAATGTGTGTTCTAGTTGTGTGGTGTGTAATGTGTGTAATGTGTGTAATGTGTGTAATGTGTGGTGTGTGGCGTGCATTGTGTGTTGTGTGTTGTGTGTTGGGTCGTATGTGTTGTGTGCTGCGTGTTGGGTGTTGGGTGTTGGTGTTGGGCGCTGTGTGCTGTGTGTTGTGTGTTTTGTGTTCTAGTTGTGTGATGTGTGATGTGTGGCGTGTGGCGTGTGGTGTGTGGTGTGTGGTGTGTGTGTTCTGTGTTCTGTGCTATGTGTGGTGTGGTGTGTTTGTGTGTCGTGTGTGTGTGTTGTGTGTAATGTGTTGTGTGTTGTGTGTGGTGTGTTGTGTGCTGTGTGCTGTGGGTTGTGTGTTGTGTGTTGTGTGCTGTGTGCTGTGTGTTGTGTGTTGTGTGTTGTGCGTTGTGTGTTGTGTGTTGTGTGTTGTGTGTTGTGTGCTGTGTGGTGTGTGCTGTGTGTGGTGTGTTGTGTGCTGTGTGCGTGCGTGCTGTGTGCTGTGTGTTGTGTGTTGTGTGGTGTGTGTTGTATGCTGTGTGCTGTGTGTTGTGTGCTTGTGTTGTGTGTTGTGTGTAATGTGTTGTGTGGTGTGCGGTATGTGATGTGTGGTGTATGTTGTGTGTTGGGTGTTGTGCGTTGTGTGATGTGTGTTGTGTGCTGTGTGTTGTGTGTTGTGTGGTGTGTGTGTGTGTCTGGGTCTGCGTGTATGTGTGTGCCTCTGTGTGTCTGTGTGTATGTGCATGTCTGTGTGTATGAGTGTGTGTGTATGAGTGTGTGTATGAGTGTTTGTAGATGTGGAGGGGTGTGGAGGGGTGTGTAGGGGTGTGTGTAGGTGTGCCTAGGTGTGTGTGTGTGTGTGCGTGTGTGTTTCTGTGTGTATATGTGTGTGTGCGTGCGTGCGTGCGTGCGTGCGTGTGTACGTGTGCGTGTGCGTTTGCGTGCGTGTGTGTGTGTGTGTGTGTGTGTCGGTGTGTTTGTGCGTCTGTGTGTCTGTGTGTCTGTGTGTGCGTGTGTGTATTCCAGACATGCATCCATGCATGCATACATACATGCACAAATACATGTACATGGACACGTACACATACGTATACGCATACACATACACATATACCTATACATGCACACGCACATACACAATCGTTTACATCTACATATACATGTACA